ATGGATCTGTTCGAGGAAAGACAACCAAGGAAGCAACAGCAGTTAGTCTTCTACACTCAAAGAAGAAATGACAACAACTACAACCGACGCAGCAAGCAAGATCAACGCGACAACCGAGGACTCACCATCGTACCGCCGTTCTGCCACAACTGCCAGACTTCCGGGCACTCCAAAGTCAACTGCAACCGCCCTCGCGTTTACCGTGCAGCAGACCCACAAGTCACTTCCACTCAAGCAAGTCCTCCAAGGCGCTCTTCAACATCTGCACAACAAACACCCAACATCATCAACTGCATGGTACACATCGACAACTGCGCACCCGGTTCACCACCCACTTACGCACCAGACGAAGAGGAATTCCCGCCGCCGCGCTCGCAAGGACTTCAGGTCAACCCGACATACGCTGCAGTCGCTAACGCCGAACCCACCGGGCGGAACACCTGGTTCTTGGACAGTTGCTGCGGTCAGCACATGTGCTCCTCCGGACGCTTCGTACAACACGAGCGACGCCTCAACCACGACGTCGTCATCACCGTCGCCAACAACGAAAACCTGAAAACAAACAGACAAGGCGTGGTTCAGTTACAATCAATGGAGACAAACGTTATTCTTCAGCTCAACAAAGTCCTCATCGTCGACAATCTGGGATACAACCTACTAAGCGTAAGCCAACTAATGGCTAAGGGGATTCACCTGGAGTGCGACTCCTTCTCCAACGAGTTCCGACTTTACCACGGGAAGGGCGGTCTCTTCATCGGTCGTGCCCTCCTGAAGTCCGGTGTCTTCGTGTTGGACTTCGTCCCCGACCGCGGAACTGCCGACAGCGATGGCATCGTATCGTTCGCCGCCTGGACTCACCCGCCAGATCTTGATCCCGACTTCGACAGTGACGGCTTCTGGCACTCCAACACCATACCTGCAGCAGAAAGAACACGGGCATTAGCAGTTATCAGACAAGAAAGACAAGTACCAGCAAGCGTCCCAACAAAACCATCACCTGCAGTATCGGCAGCAGGACCCAGCCGAGTACCACCACCATCAACACGAGGACCGCCAACGGAAGCAGACCAACTTATGCCCGCCACACGAGAAGCTTGTCGAAGTCCCGCCTCGGTCGTCGCGTTCTTCTCCAACGCCGACATCTACCACCGCTCGCCCGGTCACCGCGCTCCCGACGACATCTGGCACCAACGTCTCGGACATCCTGCAAACAGCACGATACTACAAACAATACAAGCAGAGGTGTTAGAACGCAACGCCCTTCTGACGACGAGCGGCCAGGAACTCCGACGACCACGCGCACGGTGTTTCACATGCCCCGAAGCAGATCTTCCTCATCAACCTTTCCCAGCCCATCACAATCCAAGCGCACCCACTTACGCTCCGATGGAAAAGGTCTACAGCGATATTCTAAACATGCCTCGAGACGACACCGAAGCTGACTTCAACTACGTCATCACGTTCATCGACGCCGCAACCAGATACGTTTGGCACTTCAATCTCAAAACGCGCGATCAAGCCTTCGAGGCCTTCACCACATGGCTTCCAATCGCCGAACGAGAGTCAGGAACAAAACTCAAGAGTTTCCAGTCAGACGGTGCACTGGAATACCAGTCACAACGCTTCAGGACCTATCTCGCGGAAAGGGGAATCCGACGCCTGGTGTCTCTGCCCTATGCTCACCAGCAGCAGGGGGTAGCAGAACGCATGAACCGGACCCTGCAGACGACGATGCGAAAACTGCTTCTGGGAATGAAACTGCCCAACACACTGTGGCCAGACGCGATGACACATGCAGTCCACCTGCACAACCTGTTGTCCTCGTCATCGCTCCCCAACAACGCATCACCACACCTGCTGTGGACGGGAAAAAGGGGCAGCACAAAATTACTTCGAGTTTCGGCTGCATGGTACAATACAGACCCCACACAGCTCGAGCAGGACGCTTCACTCAACGAGCTCGGTGGGGACTACACCTCGGCATCGCCAAACATTTTCACGCGTGGAAGATTCTCGACATACAAGACAAAAATACGGTGGCATCACGTGATGTTATCTTCTACGAGCGACTGACGCTGCAGCATTACCTGGACAACATTGCCAACTCAGACAACCCCACCGACGACTTCGCGGGCCTTCGCTCCTTCGCTGACCATGCTGCCGAGGCTGACGCAGCAGAAGAAGACGTCCCTGGAGCCTCGGAAGCTGCCGGACCACTCCCCTACTGCTCCGTACCTGTTCCACTCGATGAAGATAATCCCCTCGATAGCAACAACCTCGACACCTTTTACCACTTCGCTGACCAAGGCTACGCTACACCACACCCCGTCGACTCGAATATTTCCGAACGCATCGGCCCAAACTTCTTACCCGATCCTGAAGACGGTGATGAAGCAGCTTATCCCGGGAATGAAAATTCCCCTCGACACACAGCCACGGGACTGCAGATCCTAGGACTATGGGTCTCCGTCCAGCACCCGCCGCCGCCTTCTCCGCGCGAGCCATCGACCCTGTCGCAGGCTCTGGGGGGGGAACATAAGGCGAAATGGAAGGAAGCAATGGAAAAAGAGTTAAAAGCCCTCCAAGACCGGAATACATGGAAGTTAGTACCGACAACCAACACCAACGGGAGGAACATTCTCTCGGGGAAATGGGTGTACCGCATTAAGACCAACGCGGACGGCTCCATCGAACGTTTTAAAGCGCGATGGGTCGTACGAGGCTTCGACCAACGATACGGAACCGACTACACAGAAACCTTCGCCCCAGTCTCCCGTCACACCTCCCTGCGCATCCTACTCGCCGTCGCGGCCACGAAGAAACTACCACTACGGCAAATCGACGTCGCAAACGCCTTCTTGTACGCACCTGTGGACGCCGAAATCTTCGTCGAACAACCCCACGGATTCATCGACGACCCTTCAAAAGTATGCCAGCTGGAAAAATCCCTTTACGGGATCAAGCAAGCCCCACGGCTCTGGCAGCAGCACCTTCACGGCCGGCTCGTAAAAATCGGATTCCTACAGTTACCACATGACCAAGGCATGTACCGACTGCAGAAGGGAAGAGATTACATTCTGCTCATAGTCTACGTCGACGACCTGCTCTACATCGGCTCCACTATCGACATCGCCACCTGGTTCGAAGGGGAGCTGAAAGAAGATTTAACTCTCACGGTGTCCGACGAAGTTACCCAGTACCTAGGACTGAACATCGTGGAAGACGACACGGCGTTCTACCTACACGCTGGAAAGTACTCAAGCACCGTCGCGAAGAAATTCGGTCTAGCACCGACTGCGGTCCCAACTCCCTACCGCTATGGGAACAACAGTAGCGCCTCCACAAAACTCCCCGCGAAACAAATCCAGGAGTATCAACAGAAGCTCGGCTGCCTACTATTCGCAGCAGTAACCTGCCGACCCGACCTATCCTATAGTGCGAGTCAGCTGGCGACACATCTGAAGCAGCCGCAAGAGGAAGATCTCGAAGAACTCAATCGAGCGCTACTCTACTTCGTCTCCACGCCGACGATCGGGCTCACCTACAGCAAGGCAACAACACCGTCCGTACAACTACTCGGATACGTCGACGCCGACCACGCGGGAGACAGCGAAAATCGACGGTCTAGGACGGGCTACATCTACCGACTAGAACCTATCGGAACTATCTCCTGGCAGTCGAGCAAGCAGGAGTTAATCGCACTATCCTCGGCTGAAGCAGAGTATATCGCCCTTTGTACTGCGACCAAGGAAGGACTCTACCTACGAGAGTTACTCGAAGAAGCGAAGATCGCGACCCTGCCCGCCTTCTCACTCCTCTGCGACAACCAATCTGCGATCAAAATCGCGAACAAGGACGGCTTCGCCAACCGAACCAAGCACATCGCCCTGCGGTACTTCTTCGTCAAGGATGAAATCGCGAAGGGGAGACTTCAACTCAGTTACTGCCCGACGACAGAAATGGCCGCAGATTATCTGACGAAGAAATTGGCGAAAGCAAAATTCGACTACTGCATGCTCCTAACCGGGCAAACAAACGTCACCGGATCTGAACACTCCAGCACTCCAGAAACGAAGGGGAGTGTTGGAAATATCTCAAGGACTTAAGCGTTTCTGAAGTGTAACACTGTACTCGAGGAAGATTACAGGGGAGCACGCGAGTCAACGGAGGTTACACGAGGGGGCGGACAAAGAATGCGAAAGGACTCGAAAGGTCGCAACTGGAGGTTGCGACTGACCGTTACAACATCACGGATGGTAACCGAAGCGGCAATCGAGTCGCTGTGCGACTCGATAAACCGTTCCTGTAACTGTATTCTACAACTGCTTTCTTATCTTCTATATATTGCTGTATGCTTGTTTCTTTAATCAATCACTTGTTCTCACATACTAGTACAAGGGTTCAACTGCCTCAACTTCCGCTGCACTACTCCAAGTCTCAAACAGCTGGGACTTAGTCTCTGCAAAAGATCCTAAGGGCTTTTCTCAGCCCAACAGTTTTCACGCCGCTCGCACGAAAAATGCAAATCAAAACGCGAAATTAGATATGGTGCGGGGAATCTAGTAACAAACAATTCGCTATCGTTTCAGGCACTTCGCAAACTGTGATTCCTGCGCTGCGCAAGTTGACCCAGTTTTTGCAGAAGTACCACGCCCTTAGGCCTGGTGGCGCTAAGCTGGGTTGCACTTCAAAAGTCCCAAAATGTATGAGCGCATGCTTCAAGTTTCTTTCCGCTCAAACGCCTGGTGTATCAGGGGCAAGGGCGGAATTGGCTGGGGGTGGCGCACGCCTATCACATGTTTCCTGTCTTTTTGGTGCGCGATCTTAGTTTTCCCTCTCGTTTTGCGGAACTGGGTTACCAGAAGGGCAGTTTCAAGATTAATATACTTGAAACAAAATTTATGCAATTTGGGTCAACGGCTTTAAACTGCATTACACGTGCAACTAAGAATCAAAGCACTGTCCTGGTGTCCTCAAGTTGCCCCATGTTTGATATCCTTCCGTCTTGTGGGTTTCCAAGTTCAATCCAACCATCCTCATCCATCTCGGATTCCTTTTCAACAACCTGCATCTGGCATTCCACCTTTCGCATGTCTCGGACTACATATTGTCACCCGAATCTATACAGGCCATAATTGATCATCCACGGCATTCCATCAGCTTCTGTGAGTAGGGAAAGAGTCAGATCTCACACATCCATGACAGTTTCTGTGCAATACCTACCCAACCAAGCTTACTTCTCGCCAATGCGTTGATTCCAGTCACCTAAAGCCTCTCGAGCCTGTTCCACGGTTTCAACAATCTCCAACTTATTCTTCTCAGGAAGAGCCATGTCATCCGTTCCATCAAACTTGGCAAAAAGCTCAGCATCCGTCAGGTACAGCACACGATGCACGTCTCCTCCAGGCGTAGACAGGAAGTCGCCTGCATTAACCTCAAGAGTGGTTCCTTTCGTCACGTTCTGAACGATCTGGCGTCCAGAAATCAGGTACACGTCATGAGTCAGTGTATGATGGTGAGCTGGCTCAATGAATCCCGCTGAGAATCTGAAGATCATGGAAGTGGGACGGAGCGCCTTAACGAGAATTCCGGGGTAGCCTTCAATCGGGGACAGCTCACGGTCACTGGCACGGTCATAGACCATTGGAGATTCCTTAGTATCGCTGCTTGAAGTCTTCGCTCCTTCATCTTTCGCATGGACGACCTTGGGATTGTCGACAAATGAATCCTTTCCCGTCAATGTAGCTGTTCCTTCGGCTGAAGCCATGCTGTACATCGTCTTCCTCACTTCACGGGCACGATAGACGGCGTCCCGACGCCGGCGATTTGCAGCTTCAAGATACCCCTTCAACGGCTTGAGCTGCACAAAGAAAGATCTTTCAATGATCGGACGACGAGCGGCTGAAATAAGACTTCCGCTGGGATAACCGCAACTCATCTGTAAAGAAAGCATATCGTGATTATGTTGTTCACTGCGACATTGACTCAGGCTATCCTTACGCAGTCTTTATACGGAACGTGATAAGGCTTCATGACGGCAGTGAAGCGGATGAAAGCTGCATCTCTCGACTTGAGAAAAGAGAAAGCGGCATGTGTACGTAACCTTGCTGGCTGGCAAGCTCGGCATTCCCTGGCGTGAAGGGCATAAAATTATGAAATGAGCTCTGTTTGAACATTCCAAACCGAAGCCATGGGCGTGCTGGAACGTACTAACTAAATACAGCATCACATCACACCATCTCAAGCAGCAGCAGCAGCAGCAGCACACGCGATTCTGTTGATGCAGCATCCACATTCATTCTGCCTGACATATCCGTCGAGCACGCCTGCCTGACATCGAGTTCCTCCGATTCGGTCGGTTGCTGAAATGTGCAGAAGCAGAACCATCGATGTAAGCTGACGCAAGCATGGATATTGGCAATCACCATGTCCTACTTCAATGCTACGATACATCAACTAACTATGACACACATATGTCACAATAGCCATTTGTTTACTTAATTGCCTAGAAGTAGGGTGCCCATGGTTATCTGAAAGAACATGCTACATGAAATGCAGTTTGGTTCCAGCACCCATCTCCTTCTGTCGTCAGCACCAAATTTCTTAGCTTCAAGGTCCATCTCGAGAACCATTATGTCATGTTCATCCTTTCCATCCACTCTTGAGATATCATACTTCAACTTGATGTCAAAAGCATTCAAGAGCTTTTCAACAACGTGCATTTATCTGGTGTCATCTCTCAAGCTTTTGTACTTGACACCACGCATTCCTTGCATTCCTTGAAGCCCTTGCAAGAAGAAATTGAGTCCAATTTGTTATTTATGACAGCTACTTTTTGCCAACACGCTGGATCCAGTCACCGAAGGCCTTTTGAGCCTGTTCCACACTCTCAATGATCTCCGTTTTATACTTCTCAGGTAGAGCCATGGTATCTGTATCAGAAAGAATAATGACTAGAGTGGGGAGATACAAGGCAATATAGTCTAGAGAGTTGTACCCACTAAGGCACAAACATATATAGTCTACAGTAACTACATAAGTCATGTTTGACACACCCCCTAGACTATATAGGGGCAGTGCCTAACAAGGGAAGAAGCAGCTCAGGGCGGCACTGTTGAGTGACCCGCTGGGGTTGCCCTTGAGATCCTCGGGGAAGGGCCACAGGTGCAGAGCCTGGGGGGCTATGGGCGCACTTACCCGCTATTCAACAAGCCCTTTTAACCCAGTGGTTAGTGACTGGGTTTCTGACATGGTATCAGAGCCAAAGGTCTTGGGTTCAACTCCCAGTGCCAGCGCTGCAGAGGCGCTCGTGTCTTCCACCTATCCCAGCGGGGGGGGGGGTGTTGAGTGACCCGCTGGGGTTGCCCTTGAGATCCTCGGGGAAGGGCCACAGGTGCAGAGCCTGGGGGGCTATGGGCGCACTTACCCGCTATTCAACAAGCCCTTTTAACCCAGTGGTTAGTGACTGGGTTTCTGACAGGCACTACTAGTCGAGCCTCTGAGACAAGGGTCTAAAGACCAGTCAAAGGAATACAAACAAGGCAAGAGCAAGACCAGGGCGGCACTCTCAAAACTGAATGAATTGATAAGAGGACCTTTGTACAAGGAGATATATATAAGGGTTGTACTCTCTAAGAGGTGACCCTATACAGTCTATACAAACATGAGAGATACAAATGTTTGACACACCCCCTAGACTGCATAGGGGCAGTTCCTGAACAAGCAGCCCAGGGCGGCACTACTAGTTCAGCCACTGAGACAAGGGCCTAAAGACCAGTCAAAAGGAGTACAGGCAACGCAAGAACAAGACCAGGGCGGCACTACTAGTCCAGCCACTGGGAGAGGACACAAGTCCAGTCTGATTATGTATAGATAAATAGGACAGTACAAAGTCAAGGCCCTAGCAAGTGAGAGGCTACTTTGGGAAGACTTGAGTGTCTCGGCGTCGTCTGCCCAAGAAGCGTCTGTGTCCAGTAAGGACCACTGACCTGCGTCCTCCTAGCACTAACCCCATGCCCGATGTACTTGCAAGATAACGCAAAACCCTCTTAGCGGCAGACTAGTGCTGCGGTCGGTGTCTACCTGTGGCCACAAAGCGAGCCAGGATGCTGACAGGGTATGCGAGATCTGGGCGAGTGCAAGTCATCAGGTACATGAGGCAACCCACCAGCTCTGCGTAAGGACCACTGGGCTCTACTGACTCCTCAGGAACTGGAGCGGAGAGTCTGTGGTCTACAGGCAGAGGGGTGGGCTGTGCAGAGGAGAACTGAAGGCCGAACCTCTGAAGGACCTGGCGCACCAAGTGTGACTGAGTCAGGGTGATGGTGCGCGCTGCTCTGTCCCTGGAGATCTGCAAGTCAAGGTAACGGCGCAGTTCTCCAAGGTCAGTGCAAGTGTGTCTCTTCAGCAGCTCTGCCTTCACGGAGGCCAGTGCGTCCCTATCTGCTATGGCAAAGACCACATTGTCCACGTAAACAAGGATGTAGAACGGAGTCTGGCCAGCACGAACGAAGAGTGAGGGGTCTGCAGAAGACGGAAAGAACTGCAGGTCAGCAAGGGTAGCACGCAGTGTGTCGTGCCACTCACGGGGAACCTGCCGCAGGCCATAGATGGGAAGCCGCAGGAGCCACTGGGTCCCAGGAGGGAAGGTGCCAGTAAAGCCCTGAGGGCGACGCAGGTAGACCTGCTCGTGTAGGCTGCCCTGAAGGAAGGCAGTGGAGAAGTCGAGGGAGTGAAGCTCGTAGTCACGCTGAGCTGCTACGTGTAGTAGAACCCGAAGAGTAGTCATCTTTGGGATCGGAGTGAAGGTCTGGAAGAAGTCCACCCCCTTCTGCTGACTGAAACCTCTAGCCACGTAGCGCGCCTTGAACACAGGCGGCTCTCCAGGAGGGCGCTTCACCTTGAAGAGCCAGTGGCCATCGACTACGTTCACCCCAGGCGGGGGAACTGCGTCGACGAAGGTGCCGGTGGATCTCCAAGATGCCATCTCCTGCTCCATGGCAGCTATCCACTGAGAGGCCCAGGGTCCCGAGGTTGCCTCAGTGTAAGTGTGAGGGGTCGGGATGTCGAAAGCGTCTGGGTCACCCTCAGGGACTAGCAGCATGAATCAAAGATGGGGAGCAGCCTTGGACAGGAAAGCAAGCTCGAACTGACGGTCCTCCAGGACGTCACTGCCGAGGGCAGGAGCACCCCCGACAGACGGAGGACAGGCAGGGTCAGAGACCAGAGCTATGGCGTAGTCAAGGCGGCGGGTAGAGGCGAAGTCAGCAACCGCAGCGACAAGAGCGTCAAGACACGAGACCAGAACGGACGGATCGGTAACGAGAGAGGCGAGGACCCGAGGAACAAGAGGACGAGCGTCACGAAGGTAGTTAGACAAAGGAGGAGATGCAACGGTAAGAGAGGACGGAGGTGGCGACGGTAGAAGGGGAGGACGAGACGCGTGGGAACGGAGCAACATCGGGTGAGAGCGCGTGACAGCGGAGACAGGACGAGCGCGGGAGGGACGGCGAGACCAGACGTGGGACGGAGGCGTCGGGTCAGGAGACAGAGGAGGGGAAACAAGGGGGGAGCGAGGGGGAAGACGAGCCGGGGACGAGTCCGGCGGAGGGAACACAGGGCCGTAGACGTGAAGAGGAGGAGACGGCAGGAGAGGAAGAGACGCAGGGTCAGGGGACGGAAGGTCGAGCAGTCGAAGGGCTGACACCGGCGGGGACTGTTACTGCGGTGGTACAACACCGACACCGGGACCGCAAGCTGCTCCTCGGCTACCTCTGGGACACTCCACTCCTGCACCCCCAGAAGGAGCACCCCCAAATTCGGAAACCCCTCGAGCACCAGTACCACCTCTAGGGCCACCGGAACAGGCCACGACAGGAACCTTAGGACTAGAACCCACCCCAACGCTAGCACCACCAGAGTCGACGAAATGCTGCTGCGACAGCGGCGGCGGCGGCAGCGGCGGCGAAGACGACGGTTGGGACAGCAGAGGCGACGGCTGCTGCAGAGGCGGTGAAGGAGGAGACACCGGAGGAGAGGCAGACGGCAAGGACTGCGCCGCAGGACCACCAGAGTCAGAAAACTCCTCGACCGGGACAACCGACGGGAGAGGGGTGACGTGGGACACACCAGAGGGGGCAAACGGGGAGGGGGAGGGGGGGGGGAGGGACCACCGGAGAAGGAGTGACTAGGAACAGAGGGGGAGTAATAGGGGGACCGCGGTGGGGGAAGCGACGGTAGAAGGAGACGGACTCGTCAAAGGTGACGTCGCGAGAGTGAAAGAAACGGTGAGAGGGCGGGTGGTAGAAGTGCCAGTCGGACGCGTCAAGGGGGAAACCGAGGAAGACACAGGGAAGGGTGCGGGCAGTGAGCTTGTCCGTGCCAGAGGCACGAACGTGAGCAAGGCAGCCCCAGATGTGGAACGCAGACGCGTCACCAGGAGACTCGGTCCAAAGAAGGGTCGGCGAAACCTGCGGCTGCTGGGGGTGCGGCCACAAGTTAAGTTGGTGATCAGCGTAGCGCTCGGAGAACGACCACAGAAAATGGGGTGCATCGGCATGGATCATGGAGGTGCGAGCAACCTCCATGACCAAGCCGATGCGCCGGACAGCGACCCCATTCTGCTGTGGGGAGTCCGGCAGGGTGAACGTCTGGGTGATGCCCTCCGCACGACAAAAGCGACCAAGGACACCTGAGGCAAACTCGCCACCACGGTCGGAGTGAAGACGCAATTCAGGGAGACCTCGGTGGACATGGGCAGAGACAAGCCAGGGGATGAGAGCGTCAGGCACGTCGGCCTTTTGCTCCAGGGGAAAGACTGTGGTGTAGCGAGTGAAGTCGTCGACAAGCACGAGGAAGTAGCGCTCTCGACGCGGCCCATGGACGGGGGCGGGGCCCCAGATGTCCATGTGCAGGGTCTGCAGCGGCGCGGCGGTAGGGGGAAACGAGGAGGAGTAAGGGGCACGGCAAAGCCGACCCTCGACATACGGCGTGCAAGGGGGGGCGAGGAGGAGGGAAAAGCGGGGAACGAGCCAGGGAGACCAAGGACGAGACCGTGCTGGGGCATGTGACGCAGACGCGGGAGCGGAGGGTGACCTAGGCGGTGGTAGTCAAAGGAGAGTCGGGTGAGTAAGGGACCGACAGGAGCAGGCAGCAGCAACCTGGGTAGACGCAGCCACCTGAAGGGGCGCCCCAGCCGGGGGGGCTCACGGTGTCCAGGGTGAACAGGCAGGACACCGGG